CCACTCTTAGTAGTGCCACGAGGCATGTTAACGGTTGAAGTGGAGACCTAGACGAAGAGCGCACAGGTTGCTGCTCGAGGCTCTAACTGTGAAGTGAGCCTCCGCCGCGCTCGCGCGGCCAAGTCGATGGTTTTCGACTTTAAGAATGAGAGTTTGTGACGAACACCTCTTCATTCTGATTGGTCGGTAAACCGAACCTAAGTGGGGGAGGATGTAACGGGGTACGTGGTCCTAAGTGTACCCTGGTTACATGAAGTGTGACACTCCACACTTCAGGAGTATGACACGTCATACTCCGAGATATTTGGTACAAGGTACCAAGGTCGTTCAAAGCCAACCATTGGTTAAATGACATTGCATTTCTATAGGTAACTAACAGTTTGTACTAAACCCAAACTTAACCTACCTATAAATATACTCAGTTTACAATCTACCTTATTTAGGTCACTTCGCTCTCTTTAATAAAAGAGGGGACCTGTGAACTGCCTTTCACTGAGAGTTTGTATACTCTCGGAAGATAACTTCCTCTTGCGCAAGGTGCTGTGTGACCCCGTCACATTACGTAAGGGTAAATGGCCGGCAAATACTGGCCATTCAGCCCTTAATTTGCTAAAAGGTACCCTTTAGACCAAATCGGAGCCCTTGCGTAGGGCCTCCACAATCAATAATTTTATTGGATTATAGTCGGCAAAATCAAACAGTGTTATTGGTCAAATATCATTTTATTCAGTGGCCTGGCTTAGCAATTCAATCCCAGTTCGTCCTCAAATCCGACCTTTAGCCCTACCCGCCCTTGCTTAGGACCAGCCTTTAAAGGTCAGATTGGCCAAAACTTTGGAAAGGCACAATACAGTACCTGTCTGAATGGCAGGGCAATAAATTTCTCACGACGGTTGGTCCATATTGAGACACATAGCACTCAGGTTTTCGATGAAGTTCCTAAATGGGAGATGATCTTTAATCGTACAGCTTTGGGGCCATAGTTCATAAGCTTACCCAATTTGTTTTTTGGACAAGCAAAAGCCACCACTCTTAAGACGTACCAAGTTGCGTATTTTGATGTGCCGCATGAAAGCTAAATAACACGAATGGGCACAGGCTTTAGTCCCTGTCAGAATGATGGGCGCAAGTTGTCCGCAAAAATTATATCAATAGATCACCGATCCAGTTTCAACGCCTTTTAGGGAAATTAACCCGGAATTAGGGTGCGCACATATTGACGGCGTGCACTGTACTGTACATGTACTTGTCCTGTAGTTTCTAGAGGAATTTCCAGAAAACAGTACAAAGTACTGTTTTCTTGCGAATCCAAGCAGTGAACTCATAGTACTGGAAACAGTATGTATTGAGTTCGCATACGAGCTTAAATATCTTCCTACATTCTTACAACCTTCGTCGGGTAGCAGGGGGCGCTCGACGGCGTCGTCCGCGGGTAGCTTAGTATAGCCACACGAAGTTGACTGTTTCTCGCTCAAAATCCATTTTTAGTTGCCAAGGTAAGTTTCTAGCTGGTTCCCACGTTAGCTCTCTATGGTTTACCCACTGCACTAAGTAGAATTCAAGAGTGTGGACCCATCGTTTTGCATAAAGGCGCTCAACATCAAATGTCTCCCCACCTCGCCCTCTTTGTGCTTGCCTTCCTCGAAATAAATCGTTGCCACTCTGCGGTCGAAACGCCGGGTTTTCTTCAGGGGGAGGCCGATTAGCTAGATTTTGGTTGACTCGCAATCTGTAAAAGGAGCCGTCGAGATTGCGTTGGAAGTTGCGTGTGTGTTTTCCTCTCTTGTTCAAAGGCGCCATAACAGAAATTGTAGAATGGCATGCATCTAGTGCTATCATAGTTGAGGACGTGTAATGCATAAGAAGCGATGTCGTTTGCAAAAAAAAATGTATTGTAGACGTCTCCAAACCACAAAACAAATTCACAAAATACAAATACACTTAACACCTTGCGTCCGGACGGTACTTGCCCAGAACGCGTAAGCGCATGTCGTAAGATACGGTATATCAATGTTACTACGTATTTGTATGGGTGCACTTTTTGACGTGAGGTTAGGTGCATTAATTTTCAACAGGTTTTTCTTTCAATGTCGTAACTCTGACGGGATTCAGCGACAGTATTGCCTGCTCAATGTCGTAACTGACTGCAAGTGCAGTCAACAGATGGCTAAATTGCTTCACAGGCAGTCCACTTAAATCAAGAAACGCAAGGACAAAGGTACGATGGTTCAAGAAGCTGTGTATTTGAAACAAATCACTAATCAACTGACACGCAACCAAGCTCACTCGTCATCACTACCATTCTCGTTGTCACCACCGTTGCCGTCGTCGCTGCCAGCATCGTGCCCAAGTCGAAGTTCCCGTCGCGTCTTCTTTCTTTGGCCAGCTTTCTGGCCGGGCCGACGGAGCACAATGCGCTTCCCTAAGTTTGGTGGGATAGCTTGCCCGGCGTCGAAGTCATCATGCCAGATATCATAGCATGTCTTCGCAACGCCCTTGTATTCCCGTCGAATACGGTTGCACAACCAGCATTTCGCATTATCAACGGAGCAGCGTTCGCAAAAGAACGTTGTTGCGAAGGACTTCTTCTTTTCAGTACGCAAGAGCGCGCAGACCTTGCACGATCTCTGCCGGCGTTTCTGGACCCCAGTAACGGTAACCCAATCTTCAGACTGCTGCAGCGCGTGCGTGAGGCGTACTGGGGTGCGCTGGCGCTTTTGGCTCGCAGGAGGCGGTGTTGCCTCCACTCCAGCAAAATCTTCGGCTTTGAGTTGGAGAAGTTGATTTTGAAGGACGCAAAACCACTCTGAGCGCTTCATAGCAGCCATCCCCTTGATCTTGGCCCCCTCTTTGTGCGTAAGATACGCATTTACCATGACCATGTCCAGCAAACCTAAGAATAGGCTCTTATAATATTTCGTGAACCTCGTCGACATTTGCAGTGAATACGACTGGAGACGGAGTTGATCGTGGACATCAACTCCGCTCATCCAGTTCTGGTAGTCATTTACAGCAGAGGGGCACGGCACTCGAACCGCACCGATACGTTTTATTTTTCGCTCAATTGTCGACGCCGCCATAATGGAGCCCGTACAGAGATAATAGACGGGCTTCCGGTCCCACCAAACACAGGAAATCATGGTCGGGATGTCGATCTGGGAAGGCCGAACGACGTCTTCCCCCTCGTGTTGTTGCTCTTCACCACTACTACCAGCTCCTGCTTGGTCTAGTTCCCCACCTTCTTCATCTCGGACTTGAGCATCAGCATCCGCCTCTTCCAGCAAGCCACTGTCGAACGCGTAGTCCACGACTGATTTCTCCCCCACGAAGACGTGCGTGTTGTCAGGACTCGAGTAGCTCCACTCAGTCTGGAGGCCACTCGGACGCTTGGACTTCCACCCCGCCGCCCGAAGCTGCCGCCATAAGTGGCCAAAGTCAATATCGTGTGTAGCGGCAGCCGGCGCGGCGGGCTTCTCGCGTCGACTATTCCGTATGCGCACCATCCAGCAAAATGTCGAATGAGTGGCTGTTCACGACGTGGCTGATCCCCTTCCCCTGGCCTGGTTTTGACTTGTAGCAAAATGACCTCTCGCAGATTATATTTTTGTGGTAACTTGATTAAAGTATTTAAAAAACTTTTCCGAGCCATTTGCTAATGACCTTCGTGCAATGTCGTAATATACGACGTAACAAAAATAATATGTCGTCTTATACGACGTTCGTAAGCAAGGTGTTAAAGAATTCAATATGTTAATGTCCAAGTCTGGGACGCTGCAATCGAGATCTTATAGCTCGCAAACAAGAAACACTGTTTCATACATTTTTTAGTATAGACACCCCAAGGCAACAACTGAAAATGTTATCGGATCACAATTTCGAAATTTCAATACTGGACGATCTGCCAAAACATGACTTGTGAAGCAAAGTTTTAAAGATAATATTTAGCTAAAATTTGGTTTGCAATTACAAAATGTAAAAAATACAAAGACGGTCGTACACCAGACCGTAGTTTTCTGCTACAGAATTCTCAGAGTCCAATACAACGTCATCCCGTAGCAGGCCCAAGTCACGCGCTGCCTGAACATCCAATGCATCAACCACGAAGCGTGTTTGACCGTACTTGGACAAGTGTGGAGGCTCGTAGCTTGTGGCCGGAGAAGTCATTTCTAATGTGAAGAACGAAGATAAAGACAAAATAGCTTCGTATGATCTATAAAAAACCGAGGAGCTGAAGATAAGTAAGAAATAACTTATAATAGTAATTAATAGTAAATGTTGTTGGAAGAGTGGTTTGTAAATTAAATTATTAGCTGCGAACTTAAGTGTACTGTTTTTTTGTTCAATAACTGTCTGGAAATATGTACTGGATCGGTAGCTATATCCCAGAGTTATTTGTACAGACTGGAAGAAAACAGTACAAAGTACTGTTTTCTGGAAATTCCTCGTAGTTTCTAGAGCTATCCGGGGGTTATGGAGCTAATCGAGGGTTACGAAGCATTGCTTCCCCTTGGACTCACTAGAGCTAACTATTGGAGATATATATTACTGTTCCAGCTCCAGTTCTCTACGGTAATAAAACGGAAGAGCAAGCAAAGCAGGGTCCCATTACAGAAAATCTCAACTTTCACAACATTAATACGAAGTAGATTTTATCTATCTAATGGGTAGGAAATCATTACTGAAAACGAAAAAATGATGATAAATTTCAGAGCTTCTTCGGGCGAAGCAACTTTGTTTCAATTTGACTACATTTTGTAAATAAGTTAGCACAAAATTTGTACTACTACAGTAGTATTTATTAGTGCGTTGAGGTTGTTCAGCAGCAAAGTCAGGCAATGCTCGTCTGTATCTTGTGGTGTGGAGGATCTTGCGGTGTTTCGAGTGAGTTAAAAGTTTTGATATAAATCAATTTGTTGTTACTAGCCAAAGTCATTACAAGTATGTTGTTAGAATCTTCGTACATTAAGTATTTGCTTTCATTCCATGACTGAAGACCGATCCTATTTGTTCTTCTCCTCGTCCGCAGCATTCTTATCAGCGCGTGGTATAGCTTTCTGCTCAATAATGTGCATACTTTCAATACGCCAATCCACTTCTTGCGGACCAGTCACTCGCGATTCAAATACCACACGATAAACATTTTGGTGCTGCACGCTGCGCGTCTTACCGTTCGTATACACGACGTTCAAGTCCTCCACTGTAGCGACGTCTACGTGAAGTGCTAAATGCTCTATCGTCGCTTTAGGAGACGTAGCCGCTGGTTGTTTCTTGAGCTCCACCAAATCATCGTATTCCTTCTCCGTCAGACGGCGATAAACGACGCGCGCAAGCTGCGCCTTCTCAACTCTCATGGCCTCGCAATCGATGTAAAAGTTGCGGTGCAAGTAATTTTTCTTGACCTGCAGAGCCATCCGGTTATAATACGCAGGAGTCGTGTACTGCTTCAAGTTTTCAGCCACTTGAGATGATCTGTCCGTCATGTCTGCTAGATACGTGGGGAACTCGACGCTGTTCATTGCTCGAAGATTCGCTTCTGTGGCAGCGTGGGCGCCTTCCAGGAATTCCAGAAGATCAACATTCGTTTCTCTCGGCAAGTAGAGCAGCACAATCAGCCAGCATTGGCCCATTATACCTAGCGAATCGATGAAAACCCCGTTTTCGTGATACTCCGGGAGCTTTAGAAGCTGCGGGAAGCTGCGACGCCAAAGTCCAGCGACCAACTCTGTACCATTCTCGAGCAGTGGCGAGTTGTCCCCATCGCGCGACGTAGAAAAGCAGCGAGCTACAGGTTTAGTGACAAGTTTGCGGGCAGCGATAAGCTGCTGGCGACTGAGGAGAAGACTCCGAGCAGAAGTTCGCCCCAGCATGTCAGATATAGTAGTGGTAATGTCACTCTTGTTAAAAGCTCACTCGATTTAGTGACGGGATAAAGTAGTTTTTCATTGCGGGATGTCCCTCAATTAACAAGCGTTCTACATGTAGTCCAAAGCCAAAGCCTCGTATCGGTTGTTTACTTCGTGGCGACAGAGTTGATCCAGGGCAGCGCCGACGACACACGTGAGTAAATGGCAGGAGATCCCTTAACGCGGCAACCTTGGCCACCGCTGACCAGACCAATAAGCACGTCATCGCCATCACCTTTGGCACCCTTCTTGATGAAAGGTCCACCAGTATCGCCCTGGCACGGAGACTTTCCCTGCTCGCCACCAGCGCACACCTGCGACATATCAATCGTGGTGGACTTGAGAGCTTTACGACATGCGTCATTGCTGATCACTTGCTGGCTTAGACTGAGCAGCTCCTCGGAAGCCATGGCGTCGTTGGAAGCAGAGGTGAGACCCCAGCCCTTAGCCGAAGCCCACATACCAGACCTAATGTCACTGCCACCAGGAGCTGGCAGCTTCACCGGCTTGAACTTGCTGGGCTTGGCCAATTTGAGTACCGCAAAATCGTTAGCGAGAGTCTTCGCGTTAAAGTGAGGGTGGGGGGTCACCGACACAACCTTAATCTCGTCACCATCTTCGCCTCCATTGACGTAATGCGCGCCCACAGACACGAAGTTGGCCTTCGACATTTTGGTGCACGATGCAGTCGTGAGAACGTGGGTGGGATTGATAAGAGCACCCCCACAGAAACTGAAGTCATCGGGTGACTTCGGGTCGATGGTGGTGCGGAGACCAGTCGTGTAGGTCTTCGTGCCCTGTGGGACCTTCTGGCCACCAAGAATGGCAGATACCGATCCGATAAGGAGTGAAGCGGAGATAAACGTAGAGACGATCTTCATCGTGCGAAGTTCGACAGCTTTGGAGAGGTGCAGGGAATGCTGTGCGCAGTTGGCGGTAAAACCCGAAATGGGGATAGTGCGGAGAACACTACGCTCTCTTTTATCAACGTAGCGTAATGCTACAAAAGAATACTTGTGCTGTACTATACAGTGCAACGCTATTCCTGTTACATGTACATATAAGAAAGCCTGAATAAGGAACGCCTGATATAAATTAAGAAAGAAATTGCATAAGCTGACAATGCCTCGCTTAAAAACAGACTATGATATCGGATCATGTGCATGTATTGAATTTAGTTAGGATAAATTGAAGATTCGACTTTTGACTGAGACCAGAGTGATTCCAGCAGTGCTGAATCGTGGAAGCGCTAACTTTAGACTATGCAGCCTCGCACCAGAGCAGTGCAGTCAGCTGGTCGACGTTGTACGCGTTTAATGCTTGACGATCCCCTGATCTAGCGGCTGGATCTTGGCGGTGTTCGGGGGTAGCTTCTCAACACGGACGTTGCGGAGACAATTGGAGGACATGGGGGTGCTGAGGACGCAGTCGGCTAGTGAGCTTGAATGTAAATGTAGGAATGAAGTTCGGCTCGTAGGGCTTGAAGCGAAGGAGGATCACCTACTGCGCGCCATTTTTAAATTGAAATCAAAGTCAGTGCCTGGATTCTTTTGTCAGTACCTTGCCCATCACTATCCCATCTCCCTAAATATTTTCCGACTATTAAAATGGCGAGGTTATTAGTTGAAAGTTTCAACTTGAAACCCCGTTCCTTATTCAGGCAGATTTCTGCATAAGAAAACTAGCGTACAGTAAACATAAGCAGAAGCATGCTGCCATGCGAGATTTGCGGTTACCTCTGGCAACAAACATTTCATACAAAGTGGTTCATTATCTGCACATGTGGGATCGCGGCAGGATGGATCGATGGGACACGTGTTGAGGCACAGGTCAACTTTGAGATGCAGTTTTAAAAATGTGCGGCCAACCGCTTCTTTTTCAGATGAATAATATGATGAATTGACGATGCAATCGAACGATTTACCCGTTTGCCAGCTGATACATGTGGTTTGAGGGTGATACAGACTGTGTAATACAGAGTATCAGCCAGACGCACAGAAAACCCGTATCAAAAGCGTGTAATCGTGTGCAGACACCTGATCTATTAATAATACCGGTAACGGGGGAGCCAAAAACTGAAACGAGTTTAGCAGGAATGTATTAATAGATCCCCAAGCGATATCCTTTCACAAGTAGATTATCAATCAATTTCTTACTTGCTAGTAACTACACTAATATTGCCATATTATTATTATTTTATACTGGTACCCTGAGGTTTTCGCTCTTACGTATGTTTCCGTTGTCAAGTGTTTCCGCAACTACTGTAGCCCGGTGAAGGCCTTGCGCGCTTGAATTTACTACCGGTAGGGGCCTGTTCCGCAAAACCTTTAAAAGTGAGCAGCGGATTTGCTTTTCCTCTAGATCGATACCTTCCGCTCTTTCAAGCCGCTAGAACCGCACGCGGTTCATTTGCAGCGTAAAGACACTCTTAAAAGTGATATATGAAAATCATTAACTGAAAATAAAGTCAATTTAAAAACAAATGAGAAATGTCTTGAGAAGAAGTTAATCTAACATGTATCGGCGGCTTTTGTTGTACCGAGTACTGCTGGGAGCAGCAATTAGTCTTTGCGCATAAGCAATGACCCTTATTCGCTCTTCTGTCGTTTAGGTTAGGGTCCAAAGACGGACACGTTGGCTCTGCTTTGAAGGCGGGATGGCCGACGGGTTTCAAGTGGTTCCAACCCTTGCTTGCCATCATCAGCGTGTTCTGATATGCACCGACCCTCATCTCGTTGTTCGACATGGTTATAGTGTAGATTTTGCTTTAAGACAGCAAACACCACCGAGCCGAGCACAGCACATTAGAGAGCTTTCGAGACGTCCTTTGACTTGTGTTACAATGTGCTAATAATCTACGTGGCTACAAACTCAGGATATAATAAAAATCAACCTGGAGTGGCTGCACAACCCCAACATGATTTCTCGAGTCGCGGTCGTTATCAACGAGAACCGCCATGTTCTACGTGGCTACGCTTGAGACATCCGACGTCGGGTTTCTGGCGTACTCGTTTGGTGGTGCCGTTGCCACGATCGTTGTGCTCGGAGGGTTGGAAGATGATGCGCATGCGCGGGATCACTCTGGACGAGGGAGCGGCGAGCAGCTACCACTGCCGAATGTTTGGATCTGGAACGTGGTACACATGAAGTGGGGCACGTGAGGCTGGGAGAGCTCCACGCGACAGACAGTAAGGATAGGAAGGGTAAGGGCGAATGTAACTCTTACTTTTACGCTGGAATCCACGACTGCGTTGCATACAAAGATGCCCGATGAATGATGCCATTGATGTGGTCGCCCGTGACGACACACCAGCGTCGACGCCAGCACCCGCTACCGGTCGTGAAAGGATCGATATGGCTTAATGACACAGAAGAGAAGAGCACCACCGTCACTCACGAAAGAAGTGACGGTACTAACTCCAACGACCGAGGCCAAGCCGTCGATAACGACCAAGCAACAGAGACGTTGGAGATCATGCGTACCCTCGCTGGTATACTCAAGAAGCTAGAGGAGTCTCAGGCGAAGATCGAAATGAAGTGACGCAGAGAAGCGCGCGCGCACCACCGACCCGCTCATGACGCCGCTAATGAACACGTATGCACATCAACTCGCTGGTGGGATCTCCAGAGACCCCGCTCACGACAACACCACGCCGATCGGTGCCGGCTGCGGAGAATTTCTGACAGCACCAGGCAGGTTATGGTGTGCCACGTTTTGATCTACAGCGGCTATTGGCCGCAGCGCAATGTGGGCAAGGTGCTCGACCTGGGCCATGCCCCCAGCAGCCACAAGACGCACGAGTGCAAGGTGGTTCTGGCGGCTATATAGTGCAGCATGCACACTATCCAGATGCTCGCCAGAAGAAGCTGTCGATACGGCCATTTGATGGCAAAGAGGAGTACGTCGGGCTAGGCTCGGGGTTCCTGGAGTGGGGCAGCCGTTCCGATCAGCACCAAGTACAGCTTGCGCAGTCAGCCTGCGGGTTCTGGCGATCCGAGGACGTCAAGGTGGACACTACTTGCTCGGAACCGCGGAGCGATACTACAATAAGCAAGTGGACATGTGGTGGGCGCAGCTACCCATCCTGCAAGACGTTATAGAGCGTATACTGGAAGTATTTAAGACGAATATCACGCCTGCGCAGGCGATGAAACTTTTCACTGCACCAAAGGACGCTTAACCCCTCTAGCCCCGCTTCCTGTATTCTACAGGATAAAAAGTTTCGTATCCTGTATTCTACAGGATAAGGTTATTGGCAAATCGGGCTCATACTTAATTCAAGTACAACTATACAAACTTCAAGTGATGCTGCCAAATATAAAGTTTGACAGTGATGTAGCTAACCTCGGGCTAATAATTCGTGGCCAGAAATTTTTAGAGATTTAGAGAGCGCGCCAATTTTCGCGCCATTCACGATTTAGACCAGGGGGAGGTAGCACCATGCAGAAGCGAAGAGTCCGGCGACTTACATGGGGATAACTGTGGACCAGACTCAAGAAGCTAGGGTGGCAATCTGAGCGACCAAAGGGGCTAGCTACCGAGAATCGCTACTTTACACCTGGTGGATGGAAGAAAAGGCCAAACGAAACACATTATTTCGACGGAGCTGACGAAGTATGGCAACACGTGCCAGTTGATGGTACGAATCGGCTCATTTTGATTTTGGTATATTGTTATTAACTCATATCACAGCTATCTATGACATGCCGCCTGCCAAACGACAAGCCACTACGAGCTCCCCTCTATCAATTCCACTGGGTGCCCCCGAGCCGCCAGTCAGCTCTCCCGTGATTCCGCCTGCCCTGTCGCCGGCTAAGTCCCGTGCCCAAGCTCCTGCTAAGGGCCAGACGCCAAGAAAGAAACGTGCGCGTAAAGAGGTCGCTGCGTCTCCTATACCGTCACTACGTCCACTACGGTCGTGTACTGTTCGCGCAGCAGAAGTGGACATATCTGTTGGTGATGACCGTTTAAGCTCTGGTGACGAGGACGACTTTCAAGTCGATGAAGGCGATGAGTCCGACATTGAAGGTACAAGTGAAACTTCTGCCGGTGAAGAGGAAGAAAACACCAGCGATGAGGAAGATGCAGTCGATCTCTCAGCGGGAACTCCATTCGACCAGATGAACAAGGACCAGCTGAGCGAACACGCGAAAACAGGCTGGACGACCTACTTCGAAGATTCATGTGAGTGCTTTCGTGTACTATACAGGATAACGAGTGTCCTTTGCTTCGGCTATCCTGTACTCGACACTAATACCCATATATCGTTGCTATGTAGGCGCTTCCCTTCAGCTGCCATCGGCAGAGCTTACACGCTGCTCCGCCACACCTACGGAGTTGGCTACTGCACTGGGGAGTAACTTGGAAGGATTGTTTTTCCTGTTCCTGCCTAAATCGATGTGGATGTCTATCGCTACGGAATCAAATCGGTACCAGCTTCAGTATCGAACGCAGGCAGCGGACGAAATAATGGCACGACAGCGACAGCTCAAGCTGAGGCGACCTGAGTACAAGATGAAAACTGTACAGCAAGTCCAGGCTGAGCAACGATCGTTCAAGCCAATACAAGCGCATGAGCTGGTACATTTCATTAGTTTACTGTGTGCCCGAACCCTTTGCCCGCACCGTGAGAAGCTGTCGAAGCATTGGGCGGTGGATGTACAAGGCGCGGTTCCTAAAGGCACATTTGGGCGATACATGTCGCGAATGCGATTCGAAGAGATCGTACGATTCTTGCATTTTAGCGACAACGGTCATCCTGACGCTGTCAAGTTCAAGACGTGGAAGATTAAGCCTGTCTCGGACACGATCAACGCAACGTTCAAGCTGGGGATGACAGTAGGGCAACGAATCGCCTTCGACGAAGGAATGATACCGATG